TACTGACATTAGATTACACACAGGTGCACTCGATTTAGTCATTAGCACTCATCAGGCAATGTCTATGGGCAACTGACTGCACTCAGACCAAAGGGGGCTGAATAATTACGCACACCCCACTTTTCAGTTATTTATTTGTAAAAAATGTTTGGAATCATGTATGATTTTTGTTCCACTTCTCACATGTACACCACTTTGTGTTGGTCTTTCACGTGGAATTCCAATAAAACTGATTCATGTTTGTGGCTGTAATGTGACAAAATGTGGGAAAGTTCAAGGGGGCCGAATACTTTTGCAAGCCACTGTATAATCCCCCCAATGCTATTTAATTTACAATGAGCGTTCCTCGATATAAAATATAATCAGACATTTTATATACAGCTCTACACACACAATATACATAAATAAAACAATATATACTCCACATATATTGTTCATGCTTTACATTGAGTCAGACACTCTGGGATTAGCACCCCTTTAAATCTTATGAAAATGATCTCTGTTATGTTTGGACACAGTTCCATAATTATACACCACATGTGGATATAGAAAAACTGCTTCTGGTCATCTGCATACTTTGCACCTTAGAATTCAATTTACCCCTAAAATTAAAACGTTATCACCACGCAGATGTCATAAATGAATCCCTGCAGTATCACACGGTGCACATAAAAAATGATGCATTTAACAAGACATTGGTCAGGTAAATGATGTTATGTGTTCTTTTACACATGTGACAAGTCAGCTGTTACAGATTTCAGGTTTATATGCTACTAGGATTCATTCAGAGACCAGCTGCGTCGTCAGACTGTAGATTTCCCCCCAGTATTGGAAGCAATTGTCCTCCAGTTGCCTCTCCTTGCTTTAAGTTGCAATGCTGTTTCCTGACAGAAACACACGCAGAAAACTGTGCACTTGTATGCTGAATTATGTTTGCAAGATTTCAGATAATAAGTCGTGCTTATTCTTGCTCCCTTATCAGGTTTACTTGTTTGTGACCAATGCCTTTATGCTGATCTTGGCAGATTTAAATTTGCTACTTCACACCCTGTTTATTAAATATAGTCCTAAATGTCATGTAGGTGGAGATAAACCTAAAGCGCTATCCCACGCCCTACCCTGAGGACCTGAAGAACATGGTTAAGTCAGTGCAAAGTCTTGTGGGCAAAAGCGTACATGCCGGACACGCCGGTCACGCCGGTCACGCCGGTCACGCCGTACACGCCGGACACGGGCACCAGCACCAGCTGAGCACAGGCACCGCCACCTCGGCAGGAACCAACATGGAACATACACACCTCAGCAAAGAGCCATATGAACCACCGTGGCCCCTGCCTCCTAAAGAGGTACAGATTACACATACAGACACATACAGGAGGTCAACAAGCATTTAGTCCCAAATGTATTTATTAGCAACAATGTCGCAGGACACAGACATGATGCTTGTGTGTGATAACCTGATAACGGCTCTCACATGGCAAGAGCTTACCTGAAGTAAGTACCTGTTCATCCTAAAGTTCCTAAAAATGCAGAAGCTTAATATGTTGTAAGATTCAGTCACACTGTGAAGTCTCTGATCACTAAAACAGAAGACAGCTGAGAACAACAAAAGCTTTTCTTATGTTTGTGTTTGTTCGTTTGAAGCAAATCAGTGCACAACTCAAAAAATGGAGCTGTTTTTCAGGTGACAGACAGAGAGATGCAGGACTTCTCTCAGACTCAGCTAATGGATCAGGGACCAATGCATAACTCTGGCATCGATATTCCTAAGAGGAAGGACAAAGAGGACTTGACAGAGAGCTCTGAGGTTTGTCTCTCACTCTCTCACAGAAACACACACAATCCAAAAAACAATAATAATTAGGTATTTTTACTTAGTTTGTGGACTTTTTATACCTTTTATATCCAGAAGATACCACTGAATACATCCAAAATTCAGTGCTAGCTGTGTGACACTGCACAGATTTCATCACTCATATGTCTGTAAGTTCAAGATGTAAGAAAGCTATGATATCTTTTGAAGTCACTCTAACTCTCACTCACGCTCTGACCTTTTGTGAGGGTTTTGTGAGGAGCCCTGTGAGGATTTTGCAGACAAGTCGTGTTTGCATTTAGAGCTAAACCATCAAACTTTGTCGGAATATGTGTATATACATCGTAATCAGTGCTTCAGTTCAGCTTTTACTTTCTCTAAAAAAGTGATAATATCTTATTTTTCAGAACTGTATTCAAATAGTGCAGACTGTACTGAACTTGGTTGTTTCTTACAATAATGACTCCACGTGGCCTTACATAAGAGAATCTGAGGCATCAGTGAAATCAAAACCCCAGAGGGTTAAAAGCACGCTCCATGATCCTACTGGGGATCAGGAACTCCAGAACCTGCTGAAATACTTACCAAAGTGTGTATTTATTTAACAAATGTGTGTATGTTTGATGCCAGTCAAGCAAAACGAATTGTCTACATGAGATTCGTGATCATTTTTTAAATCACAGAAGCTGCCTTTTCTTCTCTACTGTATATGCCTGATGCTTTTCTCCCCCCTTCTTCCTCAGGATTCAATGGGCGGCTCTCCGAACGACATCCGTATCTCTGACATGAGGCCCACCCTGGTGGAGCCACCAATGTACAAACCAAAGGTGGTGTTGCTGGGGAAGGATAAGAAAGGTACTGTATTATAGCATAAACGTACAGCTTTAAGGGAACATGTCAGAGTCATGTACATACATGTAGACAACAAGGCTGCGCAGTTATTTAATGTGGGTCCTATAAAGAGCTTTGGGGCGTGTTGTAAGATGAGGGCAGAGGGAGGGTGACGAGGAGTGTGCATAGCAAACCTCTAAAGTGAATGTTTGGCTATTTTTACCTCATTTGCCCTGATGGCTTCGGTTTCATCAGAGAAGAAACAAAGCTCACTTTTTACTGCCTTATCAAAAATCTGTCTCCACTCTGAATAACTGAGTGTCTAATCGCATTTTCCAAAAGAAACAGTTTATTATCAGCTCTCCGCAACAATCGACAGCTTTCACTAATACGGAGCTTCATCATATGATCCACTCCTCCTTAAGAAAGCTTATTGCAAAATGATTAAAGCTCAAACAGCTTGTCTGCCTCAGTGGAGTATCAGTTCTTAGTGGAGGCTCTTACGAAGTAAATAAAAAGCTTCTTCTGGTTTGTTTTGTGAAGATTTGACTCAGGAAGTTTTCAGATTGTTGGTATCTACACAGTGCACGTCTGTCTGCAGCCAGGTCAGCTCTCCAACAGCAACTCTTGATTTCAGTTACAGCAGCCAAGTTAAATAAAGATTTTAAAAAGCCGTGTTTTATAACCAGGCCACGTCTTGCGTCAGTGCTGTGGACTAAATAGTGTCCACATGCATAATGAGAACACGGCAGAGATCTGGGTTAAGAATCTGATGACAACACGAAGGAAGCATGCAATTCCTTCACTTTCTAGTCAAGTGTTCGAGAGGCCCCTGAACACAATTCTTAACGACTCAAAGAAGTATTTGATCCACTTTTTGATTTGGTTGTAGTTCTGATTTGTTTTATAGGTTTGGGGGTTTTAAAAGGTCACAGGTGAGCTTTGAAACTGAGCAACAGATGAGAAGTGTAAAGTGCGTCTGCATGTTGATTCAAATATTAGAAAAATATTAGAAAACTTTATTATTTCTGTTCCTGGGATGCCAGAACTAACAGCTAAAGAGATCAAAAGTCATCAAAAATGAAGATGATTAAATATCTATTAAGATGACATTATTATACGCTTTCCTTTAATGTTGGTGGCCATTGGGCACTACTTAGCTCTGTTTAAATACAAAATATGTCTCAGTCATAGAAGACCGCATATCCCATAATTCCGTGAATTTGAGTCTAATCCTTACCTCAGAGCACATTTTTAAACAAGCCAGCTCTTTCCCTCTCATCCTTAACATGTATTCCACTGTGTGAAATGAATGATGTTCAACATTTTTGCTGTATTTCCATTTGCGTCTTCCAGATAACGCTACTTTTTGAGAATGAGAGCTTTTAGAAACCACTACAGTGTATTTTCCTTAATCCCAACAGTGTATTCTAGTCTCTGTAGTAAAATGCTACACTGGAATCTAACAGGACAAACACAGAAATGAGTCCACTGTCAGAGGGCAGAACGCCATTCATAATCATCATTAACCCCGACTCAAACTTCTTGAATAGACCCTTCAATATGACCCAGCCATTTTACAACTGCTCTTTGAAGATTTATCTGAAAAAAAGAAGATTAGAAATCAGCCTATAATTAGCTTAGACACTTGGATGAAGTAAAGGGTTTTTAAGTCGTGGTTTAATTATAAATACCTTAAAAACCTGTGGTATGTAGCTAGTTAATAGAAATATAATGATTGGTATTTGAAATGTAAGAATGAATGAATGGTGAGTCTTATTTTAACAGCCTTGTAGGAATTGGGTGTAATAGACATGATGATGATTTAAAGGAAGGCATTATTATTATTTCAGAAAGATTGATAGGAGAGAGAAATAAATCGCCACAGTTATTAAAATTAGTGAACGTAATCATTTGTCCTTGGGACGGCTATGAGGGCTATGAAGTTTTTCTCCCTAATGATTAAAATTTTATTTATGAAGAAATTCATGAAGTCATTACTAGTTAAAGTTAAAGGAGCACTGTTTGTCAGCCTGGCTACAGTGCTGGAACTAAACCCGCTGTTGTTCCTGTTTCCTCTATCAGTGATAAATAGTAAGATGTCCTAGCCTTACAGAGGGCTTTTTTAAAATAGAGCATTTTCAAAAGGAAACAAGGGTCATCTAAATGAGTGCAATGCCATTTTCTCTCTAACCTAGGAATTACCTGCTTTACAGTTTGTATTTAGGAATTATCCCAGGGAGTCAAACTGCTCTGATTTGATGCCACAGTGTCCAGAAGGCAGTGAGGATGTATGACACTAATAACAAGATAATAAACCTCTGTGGGAGTAAAGTTTAGGATGCTGCTCTGCGTTGTGTTGGCACATTACATTGAAGGATTCTTTTCAATTGCTTTATATTGTAAGGTATACAATAATACAGAGAAAAGCCAACAATCAGACGAGCCCCTATAAGTTAACACTTGGCAACAGTGGGAAGGAAAATTTCCTTTTCAAAGGAAACCTCCAGCAGAATCAGGCTCAGGGAGAAGCAGCTACCTGCCACGACCGGCTGGGGTGAGTTAAGTGAGGCAGGACAAAGAACACACAGTGGAAAAAAAGCCAGAGTTTAATAATAACCAAGTGAATAAATGAATAAATAAAGACAAAATGGTGTAAAAACAAAGAAGAAGATAAAAAAGAAGGGAGCACTTTTTAAAATCTCATCAGAACATTTTCAGAAAGACGTCTAGTCCCTTGAAATTGTTTTTCTGGTGCTCTGTAGTCCATTATTGTAAAATGAAATGTTATTAGGAAATTCTCAGGCAAAAAACTGTGTCTATGCCACATGTCAGTACAAGATCGTGCTGTGACCAGGTTACTGTAAAGCAAAATACATCATTATTTTGATCAACTCATGTACTGACAGAGACATAGAAGAGAGTTACCTGATGTTTAATAGTCCACATTTAAAAGTTTTGCTGTTTGGTTGGAATAGTAATATTTTTCTGTCTTTATAAGGGTTTGCTTTTCTTTTTGCTGGTATTTTATTTATTTTTAGGTGGTGTGGGAGGGGGGAGGTGTTTGGGGGATTATGGCAGTGATTCTGTTGGAATAAACAATCAAAGTCCTTATTAATCTCTTAAGACACGAACTCTTTCATGGCATGCATTTTCAATTTCCCTTTGCTATTTGGGCTGATTGGGTCCTGATGAATACAAAAACAAAGAATGACCTGTTTTTTGTTTTTTTTTTACCTGATTTTTGTTTCTGAGATCCACATATGAGGATATTCATTTTCAATTTTTATTTTGAACAGTGGCAGTATAACATCCTCGTAAGTGGAAATCAGGCCCTTGTAGAGCAACATTTTGTATTTTGCTCTAAACATCCACATATGTGGATGCCAGGTCCTAGGAGGTTAAAGTGCATTGGCTGAATTCCCAGGTAATTAAATTGGGGGACAAAAACTCAGAACAGGTCGGACCCAGAGGACATTAGATACTGCTCGATCGGTCACCTGATGGAGTGGAGCCTGATCTGTAATTGTAGCAATTGGGTGGTACATGTAAGGGGCCAGAGAAAGGTGCAGCATGGGAGTGACATAGATATAGTTGCAGAAAACATGTACTTGCGGTATACCGCAGTGCTCACCCTCAGTGCCAAAACTGGTTTTGAGCTTCATTTGGTCATTTTTTCAATTAGCAATATAGTAAAGATAAGTTTAATATAGTTAACTAACAATAATACAAAAATAGTGTGATTGTGCTGTACTGAATCGAAATTTAAGGAAAGAAAACTAACATGAAACAAGCTTCTGGTACCAAAATGCAATAGAAAGCAAAAGTTGAAAATGAATAACATGAAAAACAAAAGCTCAATGGAAAATCCAAAAATATAATGATGATGATCACAAAGAGGATGTGCTGTGTGTCTGCTTCTGTCTGTCCAGAGTCTACAGATGAAGAGGTTGATAAACTCCACTGTCTGAACCACAGCGGCTCGTCGGCCACCTACTCCGATTACTCTCCCTCGCAGGGCTCCTCGGGCTCCTCCAACCCGCCCGGCAACACGCACTCACACACGCTGTCGCACGGACACCCCCACAATCCCGCCCTACCGCCTCCCAGCAAGGACCAGGCCCCTCAGACGCACTGGACCAACAGGTGCGCACGCCCGTTTCATGACTCCTCCCTCCCGCTGTCCGTCATCTCTTGTACATTTCAATTGTAACCCCACTTCAGTTTCTCTCTATCTGTAATCTGTCACATCCATCTTCCTGCTTGCTCTGTGAAGGTCAGAGAGGCTCACTGGAACACTGCAGACTTCTCTTCAGGATTTTCTCTCTCAGCATCAAAGCTGTCCGGTCTGAGCTTCAGTCATGTTACTATCCAGAGGAGGGTTTGGTTTTTTTTGCCCCAGTGCATTAGAAAAGCAAATAAAAAGGTTTGGGCTGTCTCCTGAAGTTTTAAGTCTGGGTGCAGTGCACTTGATGATGTTGGTTGGAAAAGGATAAAAATGTTGTGAAAACTTTTTGGGACAGTTTTGAGTTCTAATCAGAAATGTTACAGCTATAAAAAAAACATGTCTTCTTAGTCTGCTTGTCATATTTATGACACTGTCAGTGTAGTCTCAATCATATTGCTCAGACTGGATGGCAGCAACAATAAAATATCTGTCACTGATATATCAGCTATCTACAGCAAGACATAGAATAAAACAGAAATGTGCAATATATGTGTTTATATTACACACAGATGCTCAAATTCGCTCCACCGATAATCTTCAGTTTAGCAGATTGGACTGTCTGGCTGTACCTTACGGATGTTTTCTGTTTCTGTTAGACACCACAGTGTCTCCTTAGCTCAGTCAAAACATAGTGTCCAATAATGCTAGTTTTCTTCTCCTTATCCTTCCCATGTTTCTTCTTGTTTTAAGCAGGCCCTGGAGGATGGTAGCTGGTTTTAGTATTGTTTGACACTAAATCTGTTAATCCACATGCCCTGAAGTGAGGTACAACTGCAGTATTTTATTTCTACTTGTGGAACATGATATTTGCAGTCTGTAAGTAGTAGCGAGGGAGTTTGAAGGCATGTGTTCTCTTGGAAACAATAACTAACACAAACATGGTTTCTGGCCTAATGGGTGTGACAGACATCAGAGAGAAAGGGAGAGACAGCTGATCTGTCCTCTGAGCTCATTGTCTCTGATTAAATGTGTAACACACATCCACATGGCATGTCGCCTGTTTGCAATTTTGATCTTCTTGGTTTTTCTCCCACAGTATAATCAGTGATTGATATTTTCTGTCTTTGTAGACTTGCCCAGTCATTTCCCAAGCCCATTGACTCCAAGCCCCTGCTGTCTCAGAGAGAAACTCCTCCATCAGGAACCCTGCAGCAACGCGGGGATCGGCGTCCACTTAGTGAGCCTTTTGACTGGGTTGACGCACCTCACTACGACAACACGGGTTTCGATGCAGAGGAGTCTTCTCTGGACCCTCCTTCATCTACCACCAGTCAGGGAAACCCGCCACTGGGCTCTAAGCCTCGCAGCTCATCAACACACGGCCGCCGCCCCCTCCTTAGGCAAGACCGAATTGTAGGGGTCCCATTGGAATTGGACACCCAGACGCTCCCCTTCCACGGCAACCAACGACCCAACCAGGACAATGACTCGCAATCCTCCGGACATCCTTCCCAGAATCCCTGGCAGAATTGGACCAGGACCCCAAGCCCCCTGGAGGACAGAACCGCATTTCCTTCCAAGCTGGACCTTACACCTACTTCCAGCCCCAATCCTGATCGCAAGGACATGGATTCAAGGTAAGTGACTGACGGTCATTTACAATTGAAATACATAATTTTATTGGGAAAGCTTAATAATTCCAAGAGTTTGCAGGTCTCAAATCCTGTTTACAGTGCAGTCTTTGGGGTTTTTGTAGTAAATAAACATATCAGAGCTGTTATAATTAAAGCCGTTGATTTGAAAGTTTTACAACTGTGACTGTTTTTATTTCCACATCAATAAAATAACAAATCAGCTTACTTAACTTAGTTTTGTTGCAATGCAAAAACACCAAAGTGTCACTAAATTGAGATTGTGAAAGCATTTCAGTTTTCATTTCTTAGTTTTATGTTACTATAAAATGTATTTCTGGGGACACTGCAAGGTCATTTCGATATGCCAAAGAAAGTTTAAAAAAAAAGTTCATTTCTAAAAATTGTGAGCCTTAGTCTCAAATTTTGGTGCAGCTGCGTCACAAGAAACTGACAGATGGTGTGGTAGTAATTTGCATTAGTCAAAAAAATTCAGTTTCTACTATTGTAACACTCCTCTAATCCAGCTTGTTTCTGTGCTTCATAATTGAAAAACACTTATCCCTATCATCAACCCATAATCCTTGATTATTTCTTCCCCCAAGGCTTCAGCAAAGCACAGTGCCTTTGCCCGGCAGCTGGACATATCACGACAATGAGGGGGAGCAAAACAGGAAGGATCAGCTCAGTGTAGGCGGGGTCAACAAGGTGACCGTGGTGATGAGTAAAAGCTCAGATCGCCTGTCCCCCATGATGAAGGAGACGAGATCCAAGTTTAAGAAGTCACAGAGCATAGATGAGATTGACATTGGCTCCTACAAGGTCTACAGGTAGATATTGTTCTGATTCTTCTTAAAGAAAGCTCAAGCTCGATTGCAGCTACTGAAGTTGATTTCTAATGATGCCACGTTCCTCTGCAGCATTCCCATGGACAGCTATAGTTCATCCATTGAGCAGCAAACTAGTTTGGACCGTCCAGAGCTCCCCGGTTCTATGGAGCAGACCAACATGTCACGGTCACAGTCTGCCCCCATGTTAGATGAGGAGATGGGATACCCCGGACACGGATCTGGTGACCAAAACCAGAGACAGAACCAAAAACCTGCCATCCCACAAAAGGCTTACCACTTTGACCACAACTACAACCCGCAGGTTCGATGGAGTTGTGAACCATTGGTAGCGCTCATATATTACGTTTTTAGACATACACAATAAAACTAAAATAATCTGATTGAAACCAAACAATACAAAGTTAAACAAACAATTCTGTTCTTACCAATCAGGTGACCATGGATCGCCGGGTCCCTCCCCCTTTCCCAAACACACCAGATTATGTCAACCACTCATCGAAGGCTTTGGAGTACCTCAACCAACCAGGGAAGACACTACCCAAAGAGCTAGTGAGCCCTCGGTATCGTGCATATCCACCCTTGGAGATGTTTTCTTTCCCCCAGTTGCCAATCAACCAAGATGGCCAGCAGCAGCAGCCAATCCCAAGTCAGCGCTCCAGACCAGGATTTCTAAGAAGAGCGGACTCACTGGTGAGCTCTACGGAGCTCGCCTTGTTCCGACGGGTTCATGAAGCTCAGCAGGAGGCGCTCCAAGAGTCTCAGTACAGACAACAGGTAAGCACAACAAAACAAGTAATGCTCATATTCCATAAATGGATGTGATTTTCCCTTTCATGTACTTTATTGAAATGTAAAGTAAATCATAGAAATGTGTTTCTTTCACACACTGTTTATTCCCTAAGACCCAAAGTTAGTTTTTGTTAAGGCTCTACTTGAAAGTCATCCCCATCCCAATGCATTTATTTGAGGCCAGGATGAAAGCTCATACTTTTGTTGTTTTTTTTAAACTCCCACTCGCTTCCCATCTGTGACCCTCAGGCGGATCCCCCTCTTTATGGCCGGGCTGTCTACTCCACCCCCATGGAGCACTCCGCGATGAGTAATATGGCCGACAACCAGAGTCAGATGCTGCACAACAAGAGAAACGGTCGTTATGACGACGACTACCCCACTTACCAGGAGCAGAAGAAGCCCATGATTGGTTATCCAACCAAGAGCCTGACTCAGCGGCGTCCCCTGTCTGCCAGAAGTTATAGCACCGAGACCTACGGAGCATCTCAGGTACACTGTTTGTCTGCGTGTTTATGTTTCTACTTCTTAACTGAGCCCTTTAAAAAGAGGCAGTATTAAAGTGAAAGAGTCATGTTATAGTTTTAACATAATGGCTCCAACTAACAGTTATTTTCCTTACAGGCAAATCTGCCAGTTTCTTTGTGTTCACTTAAGTATCACTTGCCTTCTTTAAAGATGCCTTAAAACAATAACAGGGGCAGATCACCATTTTCAAAATCCCATCCTGACATTTTCAAATATCTTGTTTTGTGTGGTCAGCAGTCAAAAGCCACAGTGATTCAGTTACAACACAGGAACACAGGAGAATAATCTGCCCTGCTTTTAATATGCCTGCTTTTATGTCGTCTCTTTGAGGATGCAGAATTATAGCTTTGTTTCACTTCCATTTTCTTACAGGTACCCAGGTTCAGGTTTTTGTAGTAGCGAAATAAGAGGCATAGCACTGGTGTTCTTTGCCTCAGTCATATCTCTGAAGGCGATCCCTCGTCCATAAATAATCCCTTCAGGCTATTCTGGGTTTGCCTCAAGTTAGACTTTCCCAAATTAGTCACAGTGAAGTGTCCAGCAGCATACTGATTAGATGTGCAGATCACTTCATCTGGCACCTTTCAACAAGAAGAAGCTGGGCATGGCAATGAACGTAAGGGCTTACATAGAGCGCTTGGCTGCTGTCTTTTTCCTGCCATCATTAGCCAGCACTCAAAACTGAAGGTTGGAAAACACACCAGCTGTTACACAAAGAGCCTCACCTTTAGGCAGCTGGTGTAATGTTTGCATCGCTGTTGTGTTATCTTCGTTCACATGTGCCATGTGACCCAATCACATTGATCGCTATTAGTAATATTTCCAGCTTTGCTAAACAGCAGCAGTATCACTCAGTTGATCAGACCACCTATTGATCCAGACTGATCACCTTTCAAAGTAATTCCGTCTGTCCATCGATCCACTTATCCACTCACACATGTACACACACATACGCCCAAAGACACCTTTAAAGCAGATAGCGATTAGTCTCAGAAGTACTGTGTTTTTAGTGATAATTTCTTATGGGTCATACTGGGACTGGAAGCTGTCCCAGCTGTAATTGGGTGAGGGGCAGGGTACACCTTGGATAGGTTGCCTGTCCATCGCAAATCGATGCTAAACTAAGAAAGCAAACAGTGAGACTATTAGACATTAAATGTTTTGCATTGAGTTTTGAGTCCTTCCTGCTTTTTAGTACACGTAAAGTAACAATTGACACAAAAACCTATCCGAACACACTCACAGAGCTAGTAGCATGCTGTCGGGTTGATGCTGACTTAAACAACTGACCAACACTGTCTTTCCTTTTGTGATTGCAAGTGGTTGGCAGAATAAAACAGCAATTTAAGTGTTCTAGTCCTTTTGAGGAACATCCAGTGGTACAAGTCTGTTGTTTATTTAAGTCCTTAAACCACTTTGTGGGAGTGAAACAAGCTGTAAGCATCATAAATAGCATTACATATGTTATTTAATATCTAAAAAACACTCATTTTTAGCCACTTGATAAACGGACACTTTTTCACTCCATGTTGGTCTCCGTCTTGCATTTAGCTTTTTATCCACAAAATGTTCCAATATGAACACTTGTTAATTATGAACCTTGTACATTCTTATGTTTAAATATTAACTCCCTTGTGTTCAGGCACGTCCGGTGTCCGCCCGTCCCACCATGGCCGCCCTGCTAGAGAAGATGCCACCTGACTACACCCTGGCAACCTGCCCCGAGAAGCCACCCGATGACACCATCAAAGTAAGACCTGTTGTACCCCAGAAACCTGAAGACATCACCTCCAAGATGCCTGCCGACTGGAGGCAACAGCTACTCAGGCACATAGAGGCGAAACGACTGGACAGGGTATGTCAGTGCAGTGCACACACACACACACGTAAGAGAGAAACACACGCGTACACATAGAAAGCATTCGGAAGCCCTCCCTGTGTGTATTTGTGCAAGTCTGTGTTGTAAGGTTAACCAGATTCATGTCTGGCTTCATGTGTTTCCACTTCACACCGTCACTCTGTCAGCCTGACCGACCACAAACTCACTACGACAGACAGCGCAGTCAATTCTGCATTGTGATAAATACTTTAATCTTTTGTCGTGTCCTCAAATCTTCTTTCTTTTTGTGAACAAATGAAAAGTCAGCAGGATCATCTCCATATTAGGATTTTAATGGCGCTGAAAAAAACTGTATTTTCACCCTTTTTGTTTGTTTTGCACAATCACATGTTAAGGATCGTGCAATAGTATCACTGCAAAGGAGTAACATTTAGGAAAATACTTTCGTGACAGCTCAGTTATACTTTAGATTGATAAATAAAAAGCTACAGACTTGAAGTGCAGCTTAAACTGTCTAAAGGCAAAGTAATCCAATCAAATTCTCACATTTTGAGCACTGAGGATGGATTGAGCTGTTGAATGGTGTTTTCTGGATTTCTATCTTTCTTTGGCCTCCAGTTTTATACTTACCTGCAAACATGAGAGTGCTATCAGTCCTTTCATCTAACTCCCAGCAAGAAAGCGAACGAGCCTATTTTTGAAAATGTCAAACTAATTACTGAGAAGCAGTACCTCAGCAGACAGGACAATCAGACATGCTAGGGAGGAGGACTGGAGCGTGCAGTTATGAAAAAAAGATAAAAACCTGCAGAATCTAAACAATATGGTCCACCAAACCCATCACGCGGTGCCTGATGCATCATCAAAAGTCTTTTGGTTATAGGTTTGGTTTAATTGTCAGATATGTTACGCAACAGCTAATCTGATATGGCATTATTTTTGTGCCACTATTCTGAGCGCACGTAAAAAAAAAAAATTTGCAGGTGCAAGTGTTGCATTTTGAGGAGAAATTTATTTTGAGCGAAGAAAA